AAAAATAGACAGTACTCTCCCCAAACCCTTTTGGCAGTGTGGATGAAGATATAACGTGTTTTTTAAGCATCACTGATGCATAATATAAATTATATTAGAATAAATGAATGACCTCATATGAAAAAATCTACCTTCTCGTTTTTTAAATGACCAAGAATTGGCCAGTATTTTTGGCAAATAAGAGAATATATTTAAATAAATTGTTGCCATTTATTGTATTTTCCATTATAAGCTCTCTCCAGAGCTTATGAGTTTTGTTCTCAGAGCCCTGCCAGCTATCACATATGTGACACTCTAAGTTCTGACCTTTTGTGTTCTAAGGTTCTCCTTGCTCTGATGACCCTTCTCCTAGGTGTTCTCCTCCCTCTCTCATTCCCTTCTCCAGGGCTATTCCCAGGCCTGATATTTCTGTGTTCTAAAATCCTCCTGCTTCTGACCATTTCCATGATCAGCCCCTGAACATCTCCCTCTCTCTCTGTTCTAGTCCTTCCCAACACTGACATACCAGATTCTACAGCCTCATCCAGCTGAGAATTTGGGACTCAAAATTTCCTTCTAGCTCAGACATACTAGGTTCTAAGTGCCCTCTCTGTTCTAAAATTCTGGCTTCACTTCCCACTTCAAATTGTGATATTTAGAGGCAAGAATTCCTGCCTTACTAGGAAATTCTATATTTTAACTTTCCCCCTCGAATGGTACCTGGAAGCCCATGGGGATTCATTCTTCTAAAGACCTTCCAAAGTATGACATTCCAGGATCTAAAGAAATACCTTCCTATGATCAATAAGGTTCTTTTTCTTTAAGTTTTTTTAAATTATTATGACTTTTCTAGGTTTGACACTTTTAGTTCTAAGGGTTTTTCCCCACTTTTTTTTTATTGGATCATTATTACAATGTACCCAAGTCTTACTGATATAGTGATTTCAAAACATAAGCTGTGTTCATTATAAATACTCTTTATGTAAGACCCTGTTTTGTAGCCACAAAGAGTCTATATTCATTATCATCATAGTAATATCAGTAGCAGTCTTTACTAAAAAAAGGAAATACATGGAATTGCATTTGTTTCAATGTCCTTGTGTTTTGGATTTGGGTTTGGTTTGTTTTTATTAGCTAGCCAAAAAAATAGTCAATACTTTCATCATAGGAGGATGTGAATTTTTTTTTAATCTTCACAACTGTTTGATAGAAATTAAACTGAAATAAATGACTGATTTCATTTTTAAAAATCTGCCTTCTTGTCGTTTTTTTTTTTAAATTTACCCAAAAGTCACCAATATTATGGCTCACTAAGAATGTATATAGAAATGTAAATCCTTGCCATTTATGATATTTTCCATTCTAAGGCCTCTTAGAGACTTGATTCATGTTCTCGGAATTCTCCAAGCAATGACATAAGAAAGTTTTTAGGATATTCCAGGACTTACCTTTTGCGGTCTAGGCACTGTCATCCCTCTGATATCCACTCTTCCAAGGGCTCTCCTAACTTGCATTCCCTTCTCCATGGCCACTCCCAAGCCTGACATCCTGAGTGCTAAAATCTTCCTGCTCCTGACAATTTCCATTCTCAACCCAAGAACATCTCCCATTTTCTGTGTTCTAGTCCCTCCTAATATCAACATTCTAGCTCCTAAACTTCATCCAGCTCAGAATTCTGGATTCAAAATTTCCTTCAAGTTCAGATATTCTAGATTCTAAGTGCCCTCTTCTGGGATTTAGTAGTCTAGCTTCACTTTCCATTCCAAATTAGGACATTCTGAAGGGAGATTTCTCCTAAGGTAGGAAATTCTGTCTTCTTAGCTCATGGCTACCTCCACTGAATGGTATTTGGAAGGTCAGGCAGTCAAAGTTTTAAGGACCTTCCAAGACATGACATTTTTGGAGATAAACACTCTACTAGGATCAATAAAGCTTCAATGCTATATGATATACATTAAATTGGAATAAATGACTGATCTCATATGAAAAATCTCCCTTCTTACTGATTTTTAATTTACTGAGAACTGACCAATATTTTGGCCCACTAAAAACATATATGAAAATAAATCCTTGCCATTTATATTGTCCATTCTAAGGCTCTTCCTGGGCAGATGATTAGTGTTCTCAGAGCCCCACCAGCTATAGTATATGGACATTTTAGGCCACTCCTGGTCTGACCTTTCGTTTCCTCTCTCTGATTTGATATCACTTTTTCGAAATGCTCTCCTAAATCTCCTATTCTCTTCTCCATGTCTAATCCAAGGCCTGCGATTTTCTATGCTAAAAATCCACTCCTTCTTGCAATTTTCTTTCTCAGACTCTGAACATCTCCCACTATCTTTCATCTAGTTCCTCCTAATACTGACATTCCAGCTTCTACACTTCATCCAGCTCTGGATTCTGAATTCAAAATGTCCTTCAAGCTGAAAAATTCTAGTTTCTAAGTGCCCTCACTAATCTAATATTCTTGTTTCCCTTTCCACTCCAAATTAGGACAATCAGAGGCAAGACTTACCTCCTCACTAGGAAATTCTATATTCTAAAATCTCAGCTACCTCCAACTTTGCCCCTTGAATGGTAACTGGAAGCCCACACATTCAGTGTTTCAAGGTCCTCCCAAAGCACAACATTTTTAATTCTAAAGAAACATCATCCTATGATCTAAAAGGTTTTTTTTTAATTTTTAAAGCATGATTATTGCAATGAACATTATTATTACAATTATAAAATCTTATGGATATAATGATTTTCAAACATAAATCATGTCCCTTATCAGTCCTTAGGACATAACACCTAGGATTGAGGCCCAAAATACTTTATATTCATTATCATTATTCAATGTGCATCATTATTAATAGTAATATCAATAGCAGTATTTATTAAAGAAGGACCTGCATGGAATGGCATCTGTGCTGGTGTATTAGGTTGTCTCAGGATTTTTTAGATAACCAAAAAATACTCAGTATTTTCACCAAACTCTTTTGGTTGTGTGGTCAAGCATGTGAGATTATTTTTTTGATGCTTTACCAATGTACAGTATAAATTACATTAGATGACTAGTCTCTTACAGAAAACCTAAACACTCCTTTTTTAATTAACCTAGAACTAGCAAATATTTTTGCCCAGTAAGAATATATTTTAAATTAATCCTTGAAATTTAGGACATTTTACATTCGAAGGCCCGTTCTGGAGCAAATGCGTTATGTTCTCAGGGCCATCACATCTATGGTATATGGAAGTTTTGAGGATACACCAGGTCGGACATTTTGTGTTCCCCCTTTGATCTGATATCCCTTGTTCTAAATGCTCCTTACATCTCTCATTCTCCTCTTCATGGCTCCTTCCAGGCCAGCCATTCTCTGTGCAACAGTCCCATGTTCTGACAATTTCCATTGTTGGCCTCTGAAGGTATCCCCTCTCTCTATTCTAGTCCCTCTCAATACTGATATTTCAGCTTCTACTGCATCATCTAGCCCTGGATTTCCTTCAAGCTCTAAAGTTCTGTCTTTATTTACCACTCCATATTGAAACATCTAAAGGTGGGACTTAACGACTAGCTAGGAAATTCTGTATTCTTAGCCCTAAACTATCTCCAGCTCCCCTCACTGAATATTAACAGGAAGCTCAGACATTCCCTGTTCTAAAGACTTTCCAGGAAATGACATTTAGGGATTGAAAGGAACAACCTATTATGATCTATAAGTGTTTTCTATATATAAGGTTTTTTTTAATTGGATTATGACCTTCCCAGCTTAGAACTTTGGGTTCAAAGACTGCACTCTCCTATGATTTATAAGGGGATTTTTTTCTGATTTTGTTATTGATTGGATTTTTATTACAGTACACATAGGGCTTAGGGACGTAATGATTTTGAAACAGAAGTCATGTCTCTTTTAATTCTTCTTTACATAACACCATGTTTTTGTGGCCAAAAAGACTCTATATTCATTATCATTAATGGTAATATCAATAGCAGTATTTACCAAAGAAGGAAATGCATGGAATGGCATTTCTCTGTGCTGGTGTTTGGGGTTGGAGCAGGGGTAGGTAGCCAAAATATAGTCAGTGATGTGAGACTTTTTAAAAACATCACTATTGGGCTGATCTATAATAAATTATTGATTTCATCAGAAAAGTTGATTTTCTTCTTATTTTTAAAAATTAACTCAAACTGGCTGATATTTTTTTCTGCCACTAAGAGTATGTATTTAAATAGATCATTGCCATTAATGGTGTTTTCCATTATAAGTTCCTTCCAGGGCTGACTATTTATATTCTCATAACCTTGCTATCACTTTTTTTTTTCCCCAGACACTCCAAGTTCTGATCTTTTTTGTTCCAAGGTTTCCCTTTGCTCTGATACCCCTTCCTCTAAGACTCTCTTCCCTCTCTCATTCTCTCCTCCATGACTACTTCCAGGCCTGACCTTCAAAGTGCTAAAATCCCACTGCTTCTGCCAATTTCCATTCTCAGGCTCTGAACTTCTCCCACTTTCTTCCTTCAAAAGTCCCTCCTAACTCTGCTATTGCAAGTTCGAAGTTCTCCTCCAGTTCAGGATTCTGGATTTGATATTTCCCTCATGCTCGGCCATTCTCAGTTCTAAGTATCCAAGCAGATCTGAGATTGTGGCTTCTCTGCCCTATCCAAGTTCTGACATTCAGAGCCACATCTTCCATCCTAGCTCTGAAAGTCTGTATTCTATGTTCCCTGAGACCGCCAATATTATTCCTCGAAAATAATCTTGAAGGCCAAACATGCTAGGTTCTAAGGATACTTCCAAGCCTGGAGTTCTAGTTTCTCAGGCCACAACTTCCTAGAAAGAAAAAGGGCCTAAAAGGGCCCTTTTATTGCTTTAACTTTTTCAATTCTATTGATTTCAGTAACTTCCCTCTATCCTATCATTACAATGACTCCAAAGCACAAATTGTGTTTATTTTAATTCTAATCACTTAAGATCTAATTTTTTTCCCCAAAAAATACTCCACAATCATTATTACTTGGAATAGCAATACCTTTCTTACCTGATGAAGGGATTGCACGCTGTTGCAAGTTTTTCTTTTCCTTCTTTTTTTTCTTATTTTTTCAGGTAAATGAGGCACTGTCCTGGAACCCTGCAAGATTGTGTGGGTGTTTGAAGACCTCAATTTTCATTCAAAGCATCAATGGTGTGCCTGATAGAAAATATCCTGATATGAATGATTAAACTCATTCCCAAAACACAATGGCTTCTTGTTTTTTAAGTTATCTGGTTCTCCTCCATACTTTGGCCCACTGAGCACATCACCTAGCAACCTCCTTCCCAGAAACAATATTTTGTGTTCCAGAACTAATGATTTACATTCATAAGTAGTACGAATGTAACACCTTATTTTTCTCCAAAAGTATATTTTACTTATGATTATTATGAAAATCAAGAGCAGTCTTTATTAATGAAAAATGCATAGAATTGTATTGTTTTCGGTGTGTTTTTGGAGTTTTATTGGAACTTAAAAAATAAAGAGCACTTTCACCATATCCTTTTGGCTGTATGGTTGAGGATATGAGATTATTTTTAAAGCATCAACAGTGGGCTAAGCTATATTAAATTGGAAAAATATTAATCTCATAAGAAAGATCTACCTTCTCATTTTTTGTGGTGTTTTTTTTTGGGGGGGTTAGGCAATATGGTTAAGTGACTTGCCCAGGGTCACACAGCTAGTAAGTGTCAAGTATCTGAGGCTGGATTTGAACTCAGGTCCTCCTGACTCCAAGGCCAGTGCTCTATCCACAGTGCCACCTAGTATTGTCCCCTACCTTCTCATTTTAAAAAAATTAACTAGAACTGGCAATGTTTTGGCCCACTAAGAATATATATGAAAAGAAATCCTTCCCATTTATATTTTCCATTCTAAGGTTCTTGCCAGAACTGAGAATTTATGTTGTCAAACCCTTTTTAGCTATCACCTGAGATAGTTTTTAGGGCATTCCAAGTTCTGACCTTTTGTGTTCTAACATATCTCTTTACTCTGATAATGTGTTGCTGTTGAGTTGTTTCGTTATGTCTGACTCTTTGTGACTCCATTTGGGGTTTTCTTGGCAAAGATACTGGAGTGGTTTGCATTTTCCAGCTCATTTTACAGATGAGGAAACTGAGGCAGAGATTAAGTCACTTGCCCAGGGTCACACAGGAAGTAAGTGTCTGAGGCCACATTTGAATTCAGGTCTTCCTGACTCCGGGCCTGGTGCTCTATCCACTGCAACGCCACCTAGCTACCCTCAGTGTTCCTACTTATTCTCTTCTCCATGGCTACACTGCTTCAGACAATGTCCATTCTCAGCCTCTGAACATCTCCTACTCTCCCTGCTCTAGTTTTTCCCAACACTGACATACCAGCTTCTATAGCCTCACCCAGTTCCAGATTCTGAGTTAGAAATTTTCTTTGAGCTCAGACATTCTAGATTCTAAGTGCTCTCCCCAGATCTCATAGTCTGAGGCTTCACTACAAATTGGGAAGCTTAGATTGGAGACATGCTTCCTGGGTAGGAAATTCCATATTCCAAGCTTTCAAGAATTTTCAACTTTCCCCCTTAAATGATACCCAGAAAATGAGACATTCAGTGTTCTAAGGACATTCCAAGACATGACATTTTGGGTTCTAAAGCCAAAATTTCTGTGACATATAAAGGTTCTTTTTAAATTAATTTGATTATTATTATAATACAAATGAATCCTACTGATAAGCTGATTTGGAAACATATGTTTCCTTTATGAATCCTCTGTATTTAACACTCTGGCTTTTTTTTCCAAAAAATATTCTACAGTCATTATCATTAGTAGTAATTAGTAATTAATAACAATCTTTTCAAAAGAAGAACCTGCAAAGAATGGCACTTGTTTTTGTGAGTAGGTTGTGAGTGGTTTGGGGGTTTGGAACTAGCCAAAAAATAGACAGTACTCTCATTAAAACAAGGGTGGGGAAGTTGCAAGCCTCAGGGCTCCATGTGGCCCTCTAGGTCCTCAAGTGCAGCCCTTTGACTGAATCTACCCTCAAGGTCACATGAATCCAATGGATTCAGTCAAAGGGTGATACTTGAGGACCTAGAGGGCCACATGTGACCTTGAGGCCACAGATTCCCCACCCCTGCCAGTGACTAAACCCTTTTGGAAGTGAGGTTGGAGATGTGAGATTTTTTTTTAAGTATCATCAATGCATAATATAAACTAAACTAGAAAAAATGAATGATCTCACCATGAAAAATCTACCTTGTTATTTTAAAATTACCTGTAACTGGACCATATTTTGGCACACTAAGAATGCATATGAAAATAAATCCTTGACATTTGAAATACTTTCCATTCTAAGACCCCTTCTAGAACAGATGATTCATGTTCTTAGAGCCCTCTCAGGTATGGCAGTTTGTAGGACACTACAATCCTGTCCTTTTGTGTTCTGAGGGCTCTGTCTACTCTTACATCACTTCTTTTCAGTATTCTCTGACCTTTCTCATTCTCTTCTCCATTGGTACTCCTAATCCTGACACTCTATGTGCTAAAATCCTACTGTTTCTGACAATTTCCCTTCTCAGCCCTGGAACATCTCCTCTCTCTGCTCTAGTCCCTCCGAACACTGACATTCCAGCTAATAAAGCCTCATTCAGCTCAGGATTCTGGAGTCGATATTTCCTTCAAGCTCACACATTCTAGGCTCTAACTTCCCACCCTGATCTAAAAGTCTGGCTTCCTTTTCCAATTGAAATTGAGATGTTTAGAGGAGACATCCAACCAAGGTAAGAAATTCTGTATTCTTAAATAAAATTATTTTGAAACAAAAGTCTTATCACTTATAAGTCCTCTATGTATAATACCTTTTTTGCTATGTCTGAAAACACTTAATATTCATTATCATTAATAGTAATATCAATCACAGTCTTCAACCAAAAAGGAACTACATGAAATGCATTTGTTTCATTATACAAATGTTTTCGGGTTTGGGGTTTCTTTTTTTGGCAAGCCAAAAGAAAAAGGCATTGCTTACACCATACATTTTTGGCTATGTGGTTGATGATGTGAACCTTTTAAAGTGTCACTACCAGACTAACTTATTAAATTGGAATAATTTATTAATGTACAAAAATCTACTTTGCTCTTGTTTTTTACATTAACTAGAATTGCTCTATATTTTGGCGCACTAAGAACATATGTGTATGTATAAATTCTTGTCATTTATGAGATTTTCCATTCTAACCCTTCTTCCAGAGCTCATGATTCATGTTCTCAGGCACTCCCAGCTATAATATAGGATGTTTTTTTAGCACATTCCAAGATTTGATCTTTTGTGTTAATAAGGATTTTCTTCGCTCTAATACCCTTGCTTCTAAGTCCTCTCTCTCTCTCTGTCTCTGTCTCGCTGTCTGTCTTTCTGCCTCTCTGTCTCTGCCTCTCTCTGTCTCTGTCTCTCAGGTTCCCTACCTCTGGTAAGAGCTCCCATTAAGGTACTCAAGGACCTCTCTCATTCTCTTCTCTGGGGCTACTCCTAAGCTTCACATCCTGGGTGTTAAATCCTCCTGCTTCTGCCAGTTTTCATCATCAGCCCAAGAACGTCTCCCTTCGTATGTTCTAGTCACTGTAAACATTGCAATTCCAGCAAGGATTCTGGGTTGAAATTGCCTTCATGCTCAGACATTCTAGGTTCTAACTGCCCTTCCTGATCTAATATTCTGGCTTCACTTTCCACTCAAAATTGGAACATTTAGAGGAGGGACTTAGTGCCCTGTCAAGAAATTCTGGATTCTAAGTTCTCAGTCACCTCCAACTTTGCCCTTTGAAGGGTACCAGGGAGGGCCCACATTCGGTATTCTAGGGACCTTCCAAGATATTACATTACTAAGGTCCTCTTGTGATCTATAAGGTTTTTATTATTATTATTACAATTATGATGATAATGATGATGCACACATGTCTTACTGATATAATGATTTGGAAACATCAGTATTCGTCTTCTAAGTCCTTTGTATGTAACACCTTGTTTTGTGGCTAAAATTACTTGATATTCATTATTATTAATAATAATATCAATGCCCATCTTAACCAAAGAAGGAAATGCAAGGGACTACATTTGTTTTCCTGTGCAGGTGTTTTAGGCTTTTTGGGGTCATTTTTGGCAGTCTACAAAATGGACAGTAGTTTCACCATATGTTGTTTAGTTGAAGACATGAGTTTTTCCTTTAAATCATCACCACTGGGCTAATACATATTAAATTGGAATAAATGAATGAGCTCATACAAAAAAATCTCATTTCTTCTTCTTTTTTTTAATTACTTAGAAATGGCCAATATTTGGACCCACTAAGAATATATATATATATGAAAAGCAATCCTTGCCATTTATGAGATTTTCCATTCAAAGGCCTTTTCCAGAGCTGATGATTTTTATTCATAGAGTCCTCCCAGCTATTTAGGACTCCATGATCTGATATTTTGTGTTCTAAGGGCTCTCGTTTCTCTGATATCCCTTGTCCTAGGTGCTCTCCTAACTCTCATCCAATTGGATTCAGTCAAAAGGCTACACTTGAGGACCTAGAGGGCCACATGTGGCCTTGAGGCCACAGGTTCCCCATCCCTGCTCTAAGAGCTCTCCTCAATCTGACATCCCTTTTTCTAAGTGCTCTCCTAAATCTTTTTCATTCTGTTCTCCACAGCTACACCCAGGCCTGACCCTGCAGGCTAAAACCCAACATTTTCCATTCTCAGCCCCTGAACATCTCCCCTTCCCTCTGATCTAGTCTTTCCCAAGAGTGACATTCCAGCTTTTACAGCTTCATCCAGGTTCAAAATACCCTCCCCTGATTTGATATTCTGGCTTCACTTTCCCCTCCAAATTGGGACATTCAGAGGAGGGACTTACCTCCTAGCTCGGAAAGGCACCTCCAACATTCCCCCTTGAATGATACTTGAAAGGCCAGACATTCACCATGCTATGCACCTTCATAGATATGACATTTTTGGTTCCAAAGTCATTAAGTTTTTTCCCCAGTTTTTGGTTTATTGGATTATTATTACAATTCTCATGAGTCTTACTGATATAATGATTCACAAAAAAGTGCTCCCTTATAAGCTCTCTTTATATAGCACTTTTTCATAGTCAAAAATATATCATTAATAGTAATATCAGACACAGTCTTTACCAAAGAAGGAACTGCATGCAATTGTGTTAATTTTGCTGTGCAGGTGTTTGAAGTTTTTTTTTTCAGGATATTTTTGGCTAGTCAAAAAGTAGACAGTACTTTTACCATATTTGGGGTAAAATATATTAAATGAAATAAATAATTGAGCATTCCTAAAAACAAATCTTCTTCTTGTTTTTAAAATTAACTAGCATTGGCCAATATTTTGGCCCACTAAGAATACATATGAATATAAATCCTTAACATTTATGATATTTTTCCATTCTAAGACCCCTTGTGGAACAGATGATTTATGTTCTTAGAGCCCTCCAGATATTAAATACGACAGTTTGTACGACACTCCAATCCTGTCCTTTTGTGTTCTAAGGGCTTCATCCACTCCTTATATCACTTCTTTTAAGTACTCTCTGACCTTTCTCATTCTCTTCTCTATGGCTACTCCCAATCCTGAAATTCTTCTATGCTGAAATCCCACGGTTCTGACAATTTTCTTTCTCAGATTCTGAACATCCCCCACTCTATCTGATCTAGTCCCTCCCAACACTGACATTCCAGCTTCTACAGCCTCATCTAGCTCTGGATTCTGGATTTGAAATTTCCTTCAGGTTCTGACATTCTAGGTTCTAAGTGTCTTCCCAGATTGAATATTCTGCTTCTCTGTCCAACTCAAGTTCTGACATTCAGAGTCATGACTTCCATCCTAGCTCGGAAAGTCCATTTTCTATGTTCTCTGCTACCTCTAAAATTCTTCCCCCCAAATCATCCTGAAGGCCAGGCACACCAGGTTCTAAGGACACTTCCAGACCTAGAGTTCTAGTTTCTCAGGCCATAACTTCCTAAGACCTAAAAAGGCCCTTTTTCTTCCTTAAACTCTTTCAATTCTATTGATTTCAGTAACTTCCCTTCTGCCTCATCACTATAATGACTTCAAAGTATACAACCTGTTCCTTTTAATTCCTAGGAACTAACACCTACTCCCTCCCCCCAAATAATACACAGTCATTATTATTAAGAGCAATATCAATGGTCTTACCAGAAGGAAAGACAGCAGGCTATTACAAGCTTTTGTTTCCTTGTTTTTTTTTCCCCTTATGGAATATCAATGCCTGTCTTACCTGATGAAGGGACAGCAGTTGCTACAAGATTTTGTTTTCTTACTTTTTTTCCTTTTTGTTTTCAGATAAATGGGACACTGTCCTGGCACCTTCCACGATGGTCAGGTTCTTTGAAGACCAATGTTTTCATTCAAAGCATCAGTTCTGTGTTGATATAAAATATATTGATATGAATAATTAAACTCTTCCCAAATTAAAATGGCTTCTTTTTTTTTAATTAGCTGGTTCTTCCCCATACTTTGGCCCACTGAGCACATACCCAAGAAACCTTCCTCCCAGCAAAAATGTTTTGAGCTGAAGATTTACCATCTCATGGCACTCCCAGCTCTAACATTCTCTTCCTTTAAGGCCACTCTGATCTCTGATATTGTGTATTCTAAAGGCTCACTAATATTCTGGATTCTATTTCCACTCAAAAATAGGACATTCAGAAGCAAAATTTACCTCTTAACTGGGCAATTCTGTCTTCTATGCTCTCAGTTACCTCCAATTTTCCCCCTTGAATGGTACATAGGCCAGTCATTCAGTATTCTAAGGACCTTCCAAAATACCACGTTTTGGGTTCTAAAGAAACATCTTACTGTGGTCTATATGCTTTTTTCCCACTTTTAGGTTTATTGGATTATTATTACAGAGCAAATGTGTTTTATTGATATAATAATTTCAAAATGCAAGACTTCTGCCTTATAAGTTCTCCATATATAACATCTTTTTTTGAGACCAAAAATATTGCATATTCATTAACATTAAGAGTAATATCAATAACTGCCTTTACAAAAGAAGGAACTGCAATTGTTTTGGCTTGCAGGTGTTTAGTGGTTTAGTTTGGGGTGAGGTGGGGCAACAGGGGGGATTGGCTAGATAAAAAATAGTACTTTCACCATACCCTTTTTAGCTGGGTGGTTAAGGATGTGAGATTTTTTTTTTGAAAGTAATACCACTGGGCTAATATATATTAAATTGGAATAAATTATTTTTTGATCTCATATGAAAAATCTATTTTCTTCCTTTTTTAAAAAATTAATCAGAAATTGGCAATATATTGGCCCACTAATATATATATATATATATATATATATATATATATACATATATACATACATATATATATACACATACATATATATACATATATATACACACATATGTACATATATACATATATACATATATATGTATATGTATGATATATATACACATATATGTGCATATATATGTATGAGATATATATATATATATATATATATATATATATATATATACAAATCCTTGGCATTTATGATGATTTCCATTCTTAGGCCCCTTCTATGGCTTATGATTTTTGTTCTCAGAGCCCTCTCAGCTATAGTATATGGAAGTTTTGAGGACACTGTAGGTCTGACCTTTGGTGTTATCCCTTGTTCATAGTGCTTAAATTTAACAAATCCACATAGAAACAACAAATTTTGTAAGCAACCAGGAGAAAGACATTCAAATACAAATGAAAAGAAATTCAAATAACACAAGACTACTCTGCACCCACCAGAAAGGAAGAGAGGGAACAGAATGATGTGTTTCAAACAGCAACACAATTTAAGATGCTACCCAAGGTAGCATTGCCCTGCAAATAAGAACATAAGCATCAATGAAAAAAAGACAAGACTTCAATAATAAAGAGGTGATTGAAACCTACTTAGAAAGAAAAGCAGAACTGAAGAGAATGTTTGCTTCACAAATACCCCAGATAACAGACATACAAGAATGGCACAGGGATACAGGAACAACAAAAGGACAATAACAATAAAACAACAGAGAGATCATTAAGACTTCTTTCTAAATGTATGCAAGGAAACAGGGATGAAAGCAAAAATCAAATTAAGGTGGTGGTAGAGAAACAGGCCTAAAACATCACTAAGGACTGCACCTTACACCTACACCTATCCACCAACAGGTGAATCAAGGGGTTTTTGTAGAACTAGACTATAAAATGAGAGTGCATCAAAAGGGGAAATGTAGTAAGAGCTCAGAGGAGAAACTGTGATACATCCTAATCAAGTCAAAGGTTAACAATGAAGGGAAAGTCACTCCTGTAGTTTCCCAGGAAGAAAAGAGTCTACAGGAAAATGGGAGAGGAGCCAAAGGGAAGGATTAAAAAGGGTGAAAGGAAAGAGGGGGAAATCTTATTTTGGTGGTGAAAGGGGGTTTCACTGATGAATGTAGCTATGGGTGAAAAAAGATATTCTATAAAGGAGATGGGGACCTTACAATGGGTAATATCTGCAGAGATTTAGTACTTAAAGAGACCACTCAGCCTACCTCAGGAGAAAGGGAAACAGAGGTCCTGGGGACAACTGAAAAACTCAGAAGAGGGACAAGACAGGGATCCAGGGAAGAGATTTTGAGAAAATGGGGGGAATGACCAAGGGGAAGGCAAAAGTCAATAATAAACTATATAATTAGGGACATAGGAAGAATCCTATCATAGGGCAATATCTTCCCTACAACCTTGAGGAATTGGTATTTTGCTACAAGTGAGGTACAAGAGAAAAAAAGAGGGTCAGGGGCAAGTTTTACAAGGTAATAACAGAAACTGGTAAGAACAAAGGACAAAATAAGTACAAGGGTCAGGAACCAAAGTAGAAAAGTCTGGAATGGACAGAAAGGGAAGATTAAACAAAGAAATGAGTGAGGGAAAGAAATCTGTTCTAGGAAAAAAAACATGTAGAAAACCAAATTTTAAAAAGAATGAACAAGATAAACTGAAAGGGAAAAATGGGAATGGGGAAAGAAGTAAATAACCAGATAAACTAAGAAAGAAAAAGGAACTAAGAAGCAAAACTCTGAAGAAAAAGGGGTAAAAAAAGGGGGAATAAGGTGATGAGGTAGGGTGGGGTCAAGGGTGAGAGGTAGAGAGCCATTGGGAATAGGGTCACCTCAAAAAAATTAAGCTAAAATTACTGAAGAGATGTAATACTATATTCACAGGGGAAGAGGGGAAAAATCATAACTTAAAAAGAAAAGCCAATAGTAGAGACAAATGGAGGGGGGAGAACCCTAAATCTCATAATTTTAAATGTGGATTAGACAATCCAATACAACAAAAAAGTGACAGATTAGACAAGAAAACCAAACCCCATAGTCTCTGCTTACAAGAAACACATTTAAAAGACAAACATATATACGGAATAAAAAGGAGAGATTGGAAAAAATTTATTATTTATCAAGTGAATTCAAAAAAAGCAAGAATTATAATTATTCTATCAAAGCTATATCTATATCTATATCTATCTATCTATATATAAATGCACAAAAAAGATATCAACAAGGAAATCACATTTTACTGAAAGGAACCAGAAAAAACAAACCAACATCAATATTAAACTTAATATTGATTGGCATAATATTGATTGATAAGGCTCCAAATGCCTTAGAATCCAAATTCAAAAAGAAAACAACTGAGCTACAAGTATATAGTGGGGAAAAAAATACAATAGTCATAAGGGAATTCAATATCCTTCTCGGTTTTGGATAAATCTAACAAAAAGATAAATAAAAGGAAAAATACAAAAATTAAAAAATGCTGGAGAAATAAAAGCTAAAAGACTTATAGCATCTTCTAAATATGACTACAAACGAATATACACATTTCTCAGAATTACATGAAATTTGTATTAAAATTGACCACGTATTAGGGCACAAAGACACTGCAAATAAATGTTAAAAGACAGAAATAATAAACATATCCTTTACAGACCGTAATATAGCAAAACGTGTTTGGTTCAGAAACCACAAACAGACCCAAATGGAAATTTGGCAATGAAATACTAAATATTTAGTGCATCAAAAAACAAATCATAAAAACAATTGTGTGAAAGAAAATTATAATGATAAACAATATACTCAAATTTCTAGGATGCAGCTAAAAAGGCCTCAGGGGAAAAATCATTTCTCTTCAAACATCCATTGGCAAAACAGAAAAAGAGAGTATTAATAAAATGCATTTTAAAAAATTAGAAAGCCAACAAATAAATAAACCTAAAATAAACATAAACAGGATATTGAAAATTAGAAAATGGATAAGCTAGAAACCCAAAAAATAAACCCATATAAATTATAAATAAAACTAAAAATTGGTTCTTTGAAAAGACTAAAATAATTGATAAACCTTTCACTAATGTGATTTTTAAAAGGGCAGAAAATCAAATCAATAAAATAGCAATTGAGCAAGGCGAAATCACAACAAAACCAGAAGAAAAAGAATAATTAGAACCTATTATGCACAGTTGTATGCTAACAAAATTGAAAATTCAAAAGAAATACAATTTCTTCAAAAATATAAAACACCCAAACTGACAGAATGCCAGATAGAGATAATGAATAATTAAATTTCAAAAAAATAAATACAATTAGCTATAATGGTACTAACAAAGGGGGGGGGGGAAATCTCCTGGTCCAGAATTACAGGAGAATTCGATTAGATTAAAAAAAAACAATTAGTACTCATACTAATCAAATTATTCTCAAAAATTGAGAAACTCCTCTACCAAAATCCTTTTATGAGATAAATGTAGACCTAATATCTAACCAGAAAAGGACAAAACACAGAATGAAAACTACAGATAGATATCATTAATGAATATCAATTCAAAAATTTTCAACAAAATCCTGTGGATCAAGTGATTAATCCAAGAAATCATAAATTATAACCAAGGCAGATTTATGCCATGGATGCAAGAATACTTCAACATTAGGAAAACAATCAACATAATCATATTAAAAACCAAAACATACAAAATGACATGATTATGTCAGAAAAAGCCTTTAAGAAAGTACAACATTCATTTACACCCAGAACTCTATAAAGGAGAGGCATCTTCCTAAAACCAAAAGCAAGCATCATATGCAATCACTACGTTTTCCAATAAATATAAACATAACGCAAGAATGCTCACTCTCTCCCCTATTGTTCGATATAGTTCTGGAAATGTTAGCAAAAGCAATAACACAAAAGAAAGGAATTAAAGACATATAACCAGGTAATTGGGATAAAACTATCCCTTTTTATTGATGATATGATGATCTATTTGGAAAACCCTTGGGGAGTCAGCAAAGATTTGAATTGACATGGTAGCTTCAGCAAAGCTGCAGGCTTAGAAGATAAACCCTCAAAAAGCAACTGTGTTTCTGTAGAATAGTAACAAAATCCAAGAAGTAACAATGGAACAAGAAATCCCATTCCAAATGACTGCAACATGCAGAAAGTATCAGGGGATCAATCTTCCAAAGCACACCAAAGAATTCTATGAATTCAATTACCAAGTGCTTCTTAAAGAAACAAACTTAAAAAGCTAGAAGAATACTCAATCATCAAAACCACCTGGTATATGGGCTTAAAAAAAATAAAGGGCCTAGACCAAGGGTGGGGAACCTGCGGCCTCCAGGCCACATGTGGCCCTCTAGGCCCTCAAGGGTGGCCCTGTGACTAAATCTAAACTTCACAGAACAAATCCCCTTAATGAAAGGATTTATTCTGTAAAACTTGGATTCAGTCAAAAAGCCACACCCAAGGACCTAGAAGGCCACATGTGGCCTTGAGGCCGCAGGTTCCTCATGCCTGCTAGGACTCATCTTGCTGGACCTCCTAGGGTGGTGGAGGTTGGTGCTGTCAGCCTGGTTGTTTCCCACTTATATATTTATATTTAATTTATCACACTGCATATATGTTACCATGATTTCAAAGCACAAATGATGCCCCTTTTAAATCCTGATTACTTAACAACTTTTTTTCAAAAATACTCAGTATTCATGATCATTGAGAGTAATAACCACTGCCTTCTAACCCAATGAAGGCACGAAGTGGAACTCCATTTTTTGACTTTTGTTGTTGTTAGCCAAATAAGACACTGTACCTTTGCCTTTCCCCTTTGGCTGAGTGGTTCAGGATCTGAGTTTTAATTCAGAGCATCACCACTGTGCTGGTAAAAATCATATTGAAATAAATGTTACATTTCATACCTAAAATACACTTTGCGATTGTTTTTTAAATTTATCTGTCCCTCCCCATACCTGGGACCCCTGACTGAGCGCATCAATAAAATTCCTTCCATGCTATGACAGTTTATGTTCTCAGGACCCTCCGAGCTCTGATGATCATGACACGTGGCCTTCTAGGTCCTCAAGTGCAGCCCTTTGACTGAATACAAACTTCACAGAACCGATCTCCTGTAGGTCCTTGGGTGTGGCTCTTTGACTGAATCCAAACTTCACAGAACAAATCCCCCTTCAAAAAAGGATTTGTTCTGTAAAACTTGGACTCAGTCAAAGAGCTGCACCCGAGGACCTAGAAGGCCACATGTGGCCTCAAGGCCACAGGTTCTCCACCCCTGAATTCTATGTTCTAGAAACCCCTTCTAGGTCTGACATTTTTCACTCTATGGCTATTTCCAAGCTTGACATTCTATGATCTAAGGTCCTACAGGCTCCAGGGGAAGGGAAGAGAAGAGAATAAGCATTTATATAATGCTATTATGTGCCAAGCACTGTGTTAAGTGTTTTTTTTTACAAATACTGTCTCATTGAATCCTCACAACAACCCTATGATATACTTCTGTACTGTTATTTTCCCCATTTTACAAATGAGGAAACTGAGGCAAATAGTGGTTAAATGATTTGCCCAAGGTTACACAGCTAGGAAGTGTCTGAGGCCAGATTTGAAATCACATCTTACTGACCCCAGGCCCAGCAATCCATCTACTTGCCTGTCAAAATTCTGGGTTCTCAGGCTCTGACCATCTCACACTATTTGTGTTCTGAGATCCCTCCCACCTGTGAAATGTTTTCTAGGGCCCTATCCAGCTCAGGAATTCTTGATTCTAAATCTCCTCCAAGCTCAGACATTCTACATTCTAAGTACTTTCCCAGGCCAGGTATTCTGACTTTAACATCCATTCCCAGTTCAGACACAGAGAGCCCCTGATTGCCCCTTCAGTTCTGAAATTCTCCATTTTAAGCTTTCTACCAGCTCCAAAATTCTCCCTTGACATGCGCATTCAAGCCCAGACACTCTATGTTCTAAGGTCCTTCATGGCCCTGTAATTCTATATGCGAAGGCTATAGCCTTCTATGATATTCTAGGCTTTTTTTTCTTTTGAGTTTTTAAAAAATCTTATTACATTGCAAATATGACTTACCAATACAAGAATTTAAAAATGAAAAAAAGACATCCTTTTAAATAGTGTACATTTAACACCTCATTGGTTTCTATAAACACTCCCCATTTACTATGACAAATTATAGGAATACTAATAGCAGTCATCAATAACGCAGTGCGAGGAACTCCTTTTTCTGTTAGGTTTCTGCTTTTTTTTTCCTCCGCCAGATACACGAAATATTTTCTCCTTTTTTTGGCTGTCTGGACCAAGACCTGAATTTTAATTCACAGAATCATCATTATATTGATATGAACTGTATTGAAATATACCTTGCATCTCATACCATGTACGTCATTATTGCTTTTTAAATTTCCTCCTCCCTCCCCACACCTTGGACGCCTGAGCACATTAAGCGCACACACACACACACACACACACACACACACACACACACACACAACACACACACAAACACACACTCCTTCCAAGATGCGACATTCAATTTTCTGTGTTTTCAGGCCTTTCCCAGATCCAGCAATCTATATTCTGAAAGCCTCGTCTCTTAGAGCCACTCCTACTTCGGCCATTGTATGATCTAAGGGCTTTCTGAGATCTCAGAAGCCTTTGTTCTACATGCCAGTTCTGACATTCTCTTCTCTGGGGTTTCTCCCAGGCTTAACATTCTGTGTGCTAATGTCCCAAAGAATCAAACAATCAGACGAATCAGCCGCAGTCCATCTATCGTTTTGTGGGTTCTCAAGTCCCTCTTACCTCTCACATTCCAAATCCTTGAGCCCCAGCCAGCTCAGGCACTCTTGGTTCTAATTTTCCTCTAAGCTCAGACATCCTACGTTCTACATGCGCTCCCCTGTCTGATATTCTGTTTTTTTTTTTTTTCTGCGAACTCTCAATTTTGACATTCGGCATCAAGACTGCCATACCAGCACAGAAATTCTCCATTCTAAACTCTATCCAGCCTCCAGCCTTATCCCTTGAAAATCGTCTCACGTACCAGACATCCTAATGACTGGACCGCCCCAGTCCTGATAATCGATCTTCTAACGCCCTTTTCCCCCAAGATTTTCTTCTTTTCATTACCCATCTGTATTTTATCACACTGCACATGTGTCTTAGCATGACAATGATTTACAAGCACAAAGAGACTCTTTTAAATCCACTGTTTATAACACCCCCCACCCCCCACCCCCCCGAAAGGCTACCCAGTCATTATCAATAGCATCGAGCAACAAGCCTTACCTGCTCCAGGCTGTACAATATTTCTATGACACAGAATCGCCTAGGGCTCAGAATCGCCTTGGGCTTCCGCCTCGCCTCCACCTCCGCCTGCGACTCCAACCCTAAACGCCCCTGACTCTATTTTCCCTTTTTCTCTCTGGCTGAGTGGCTCCGGATCTATGCTTTCATTTAGCGCATCACCTTTGTGCTGATCTAAATACACTGGTGTCTAGAGAAGCAGAACTATATTTTGGCACTGATCATTAAATTCACCTGTCCTTCCCAATATTTTGACCCACTGAGCACATAAAAGAAAAGAAAAACAGAAAAAGAAAGAAGGAAAGAAAGAAGCCAGCACCCTCTCGGAGGTGTAGCGGAGCCCTGCTTCCCAGGCGCAGCTTCACCCTCACACAATCAGAGGATGCTCTACCTCAAAGAAGACAAAGCTGACTCTGCTCTCTGATTGGCTCCCGTCTCAGTCTCGCCTTCCCAGACACAGCTCCCCCCTCTCCTCCCTTTCTCCCTCCCTCTGGCTGCAGCACTGGCTTGGTTGAGGACAGCGCTGTCTCTGACACCTGATTGGCCCCAGATTCTCTAATGCACTCTCCAAAGCGCCCCCCGCCCCAACCCGTCCAAACCTTCCCAACCAACAAGGAATAGGCTGAGAACAAAACTGCTTCTGGGCTCTGATTGGCTGCAGCCTCCCTGGCTCGACTTCCATTCCCCACCCCCTCCACCAATCTTGGGTACCTAGGCCAAAGCTGCCCCTGGCAACTGATTGCCTACCCCTCCTCCTTCCCCCCCCATTCTCCTAATGCAGGCTCCTTGTTACCTAGGAGCTTGAAAATTCCCAGCCCCCCTGGCCTCTTAAGTCTTCTGTGCCAGTAAAGTTATTGTGCCTTGCTGACCAGACCAAACTGGTTTGCTTGAGGGTGGAGAGGAAGGAGGGATAGAGGAGGGGGGAAAGAGGGAAACCCAGTACTTCTGTGGCCTTGTTGCATGTCCCTTCTGTGTTCTGTCTTTTCAATGTTCACAGCACCTAGCACATAGCAAGCAATTAATAGGTGATGATTGATTAATTGATTGGCTTTCAAGGAGGTCAACACTCAATCAGCGCTAAGAGCTGCATGTGCAACCCACTGTGTGTGCTTGAGCTACTTACAGAGAGCAGAGATGGGAGGGAAGAGAAGCATTATGGCTGCAGTATTTGTTCGGTATCAGGCCCTTTCACAGTCCTCTTGGAAAGCAAAGGGCAAACAGCAACCAACCTGTAGGCATGTTACTGTGGGTACGGTCAAATGGAAACCCTTAGAGTTACCCAAGCCATCCCATGTAGTTAACTCCATACAATATCAAGTCACCAGGAGGGTAAAAGATATTTTTTTTTTCTCTAATAAAGATGCAAATGAAGGAAACTGGAGTAGTTTGCTATACCAGCTCCCCTTACAACAACCCTGTGCTACCTGTGAGAAAAGCAGGTGGAATCTGGTAGCTTGGTAAAGGGAGATGAACAAAGTCATCCTTATAGCTTCTCATCTCTACAGCTATTCCTGCCTGACCTCCTCACTGTTGGAGACCAGGCAACCCAGGTCAAGTGTGAGTGGTACGGGGCTATCCACCTTGCCAATGCTTTTTTCCCCTCTATATTTGTGGCTAAGACAATTCAGGAGCAGTTTTCTTTCACTTGGAAAGGAGTCCAAAGCACCATCCTTCCCCAAGGCTCTCTCTCATACTTTCCCTCATACTGCTGCATTATAGTGGGCAGAGACCTGAAAGAGGGCTCCCTTTTCCTGATGACACTGATGATGTAATTTTTACTGGGCCAGAAACTCCAGATCAGATGACGGTCCATATAACAGACAAAGGGTGGGAAATCATCTCTACGAAAATCCAGGCCCCAGCCAATTCAGTCAAGTTTGGGGCAATACAGAGGGTAGGGAAAACCCAGCAGATTCCAGGTGTAGTACAGAAGGAAGGCAGGGAGGGAGAAAAGGAAGCAAGCATTTAATAAGCACTGACCACGTAGCAGGCACTGTGCTAAGTACTTACACAGATATTTCATTTGATCCTCACAACAATGCTAGGAGGTAAGTGCTATTATTATTCCCATTTTACAGTTTCAGAAACTGAGGCAGACAGAGGTCAAATGACTTTCCCAGAGTCACACAACTAGTGAACATCTAAGGCCAGATTTGAACTCAGGTCTTTCTGCTTCAAGGTCCAGCACTCTAATCACTGCATCACCTAGCAGCCTTCTTTCCTCTAAGATGTGAGAAGGAAGCACATTATTGGATTCTTCTGGTTTTAGGAAACCTATATTCCCCATCTGAGTATCCTGATGACTCCCACTTACGAAATCACGTGAAAGTCTGCCTCATTCAAGTGAGGCCCAGAAGATACTGTTGCCCTGGAAGATATAAAGCACAAGTCTGTCCACAAGTTTCTCCCCTTGGGCACTTAGGACTCAGCAAGGCACGTTTTTTTGGCTGTTTCTCTCCATAAAGACCAGACATAGTGGAGCCATTGGGAGGGACAAAGACATGACTAGAATAAATGACTAGCGGGTGTCTGGAACACCAATTATCCCAAAGCAGCCACTCGCTATACTGCTTTTGAAAAGTACTTGCTTGCCTCTGACACACAGTCATATAACCAGAGACTGAGGCCTCCAGTCTAAACCTTGGAAGCTGCCTCCTCCACTGGTCCAACACGTCTCTGACTATAAGGACCTGGTTCTCAAAGAGTATCATTTTGTCTGGCTGATCTATGGTTCCCTCCATTCTAAGAGAGACATATACAATTGGACTTATTAATCCGGTAACAAGGGATACCCTGGGGAACATGGGTCCTGTCAAGTCTTCCCAGTGGGCTGAGCTCCAGGCTGTTATGGCTGGCAAGTGAAAAAGCCTTGAGGAATGGGGCAGAAAAGAACTTCATCTAATTCCTGGGAGGTGGTCCTGGTGGTCTGGGGCTTTGAGAACATAGGACCAGACGATGAAAGGCCCTTCCCTTTGGCATCAGTACCAATGGAAGAATTCTGGCAATGCTTTCCACTGCATGTAATTGTTTATGGGGGCGTGTTATTACCCATCAGAGACACTATGTGCAAACCGATCAGGTTAGAGCTGTTACAAGAACAGCAGAAGTTGAGGAGTGGAGTGCATCTAGTGCCACCTTGGACCTTGGGGTGGTGATGCCATTCTTTGCTGGGCAGATGATCATATGAGTCCCCCTAAGGACAAGATCAACTTTTTCAGCCCGTGTTCCATATACCAGTCAGAGTACCTGGTATCTTGCTTTCTAATTGCACAGAGGAGGTGGAACTGTCCCACATCGCAAGGGTTAGGGGTGCAACAACCCCATGATCTGGGAAAATCCATGTAAAATGTTTTGGTCCTCCCTTCACACCAGAGAAGTTTGATTTTTTTTCTTTTTCTTTTATGAGGTGTTTATAGGACTTTATTGTAAAATTTGGGTTAACATTGTACAATGCTACTATACATATATTTAATGCATTTCTGAGTTTCTAAACTTTTTCTGTGTTGTCTGCTGGCTTTCATGTGTTGGATGCAGCTTACACAAAACTCCCCAAAATTACCACTTAATTTCTTATGCCAACCCACAATACATCAAAACCATGATGGGGAAAGTCACAACGTGAAAGAGATAACAGTATATGATGGGATTGACATGGAAAAAGGGATTCTTTAGTTGACATACTGGCAATTCTGAGTCACTGGATGTCAGTGCAGAAGAGTTCTTATTTAACCACAGTGGAAGAAGGGAGCAACCCTGCCACAAAGACCTCTAAGGGGGCAAAGATTCCGCATCATTCCAATGATGTAGATATCAAGGAGGGGAAAGGTTTCAAAAATCAGTCAAGGGAATTTTGAGCGGGTTTCTGTACAGGTTAAGATTCGGTATTGACTTAGATCCCAGGATAGGCTGCATGCGAAAGGCTTATGATATCTTGGCTACTTTACTACCAATGGCCCTGATATGTGATGAATTGTTGAGTGGGACAGAAATGTCCATTCTGTGGCCCTGGTGTTCCTTGAGCTGCTCCAGATCATCATAACCACTTCAAATTGAGGCTCATTAAGAGATCTGGAATCATGTGGTTACATGGACCACATAAGGAAATTTGAGACTTGGTCCATCCAAATGGGTGGAGAAAAGGCTTAGGATTTCTGAATTTTGTCTTCTTCCACATTTTTATTCTGTTTTTTTTTTTCACTTTTCCACCCTTCACCTTAGTACTACCTAGGCCAGAAGGACTGTCCCATAAAAGTTCTAGAAGCATTTAACCAGAATTTCCCTGACTCAACCTCTTTCCTCATACCCACAACGTGGGAGATTTTACCCAAAAGAAGAAAGAGCTGCCCCCAGGACCTGATTGGCCACAGGTTCCTTGATGAAGCTTCATTCCTCATCCCAGGGGGTGGGGAACCTGTGGCCTGGAGGCCACATCCTCTAGGTCCTCAAGTACAGCCCTTTGACTGAATCCAAACTTCATAGAACAAATCCCCTCAATAAAAGGATTTGTTATGTACAACTTGGACTCAGTCAAAAGGCCGCACCAGAGGACCTAGAAGGCCACATGTGTCCTCGAGGCTGAAGGCCCCCCACCCCTGCCTTATCCCTATCCCCCAAACTCCAGCCAGCATGGGGAAGACCTAGAAGAAAGCCAGCCCTGGGATTTGATTGGCCCTGGCTTCCCTGAAGCAGCTTCCTGATCATCCAAGGGTATAAAATGCCTTAGACACACGGAATCCAGTCCCCTCAGACTTGGTGGATTTCTGCATCCCACACTTGTCAGTCAATACACATTTATTAAGCACCTACCATACCAAACACTGGGTTAAGCACTGGGGATACAAAAGGAGAAAAAAGACAGAGCCCTCAGGGAGCTCACAGTCTAATGGAGAACAAAACAAACATACAAGAATAAACAATCTGTATACAGGATAAACAGGAAATGGTGAACAGAGGAAAGGCACAAGAATTAAAGAGTTGACAAAGGTTTGTAGTGGAAGATAGGATGTTAGTTGTGACTTAAAGGAAGCCAGGAAAGTCAAGGGACAGAGACGAGGAGGGAGGGCATTCTAGGCATGGGGGCCAGAAAGAAAAACTGCTCAGAGCCAAGAGAGGAAGTGTATTATTCAGGGAACAGCAAGGAGGACAGTGTCACTGGATCAAAGAGTATATGGAGGGTGACTACAAGGTGTATAAAGTACAAAGAGTACAAGGCGTAAAAAGATTAAAAGGGTAGGAGGGGGCTAGGTTATGAAAGGCTTTGATGCCATACAGAGGATGTTTTATTGGACCCTGGAGGCAATGGGGAGTTACTGGAGTTTATTGAGGGGTGTGTGTGTGTATGTGTGTGTGTGTGTGACACATCATAGGACCTACCTTTTAGGAAAATCAATTTAGTGGCTGAATGGGGGGTGGACTAGAGTAGGGAGAGACTTGAGGCAAGCAGACCCATCAGCAGCTATTGCAATAGTGTGAGGTGATAAGGGTCTGCACCAGA